TTATTTATTTGCAAGACAGAGTTACAGAGAGAGAGAGAGAGGAATAGAGAGGTCTTCCATCTGCTGGTTCACTCCCCAGATGGCCACAATGGCTGGAGCTGCGCTGATCCAAAGCCAGGAGCCAGGAGCTTCTTCTGGGTCTCCTACATGGGTGGCAGGGGCCCAAGCACTTGGGGCATGGTCTACTGCTTTCCCAAACGATTAGCAGGGAGCTGAACTGGAAGTTGAAAAGCTAGGACGCTCACTTGGAGCCCATATGGAATGCCAGCATTGCTGGTGGCAGATCTACCCACCAGGCCAGAGCACCAGCCCCGTGTCTTGCTTTCTTTCCATAGTAAATCTTGTGAGAAGTAGTATGTTTCATCACAGAGACATGCTACAGTTTGCTTTTCCATTCACCAGTCAATGGACTGTTAGGTTTAGGTTTGTTTCAGTCCCTTTCCTGTTGCTGGTAACACAGTTCCACCGGCTGGGCAAATCGTCATGAAAAGAGATTTGTTGGAGCTCACGGTTCTGGTCCAAGTCAAGGAGCCACATCTGGTGATGGTCATCCTGCAGGTTGTGCAGGACGCCACATAGAGACAGAGAGGGAACTTGTGTCCTAGTCTCTGCCCTGGGACCCAGTGATTTACCTAATCCCTGTCACCTGCTGGAGGCCACACCATTGCACGCCATGGTCAGGGTCACATTAAATTTCAGTGTGCGTTTTTGGAGGGGACAAACCATGTAGAACATCTCAAGGTTGCTTGCAGGTCTGGGCTGTTATAAACAGAGCCGCTTAGGAACGCTTGTGTATACATGGGATTGCTGTGCTATACAGTAATTGTCACACTTTTTACTGACTGATTCATTCTTTAAAAAAAATTGATTTATTTACTTGAAAGGCAGAATTACAGAGATGTAGAGGCAGAGAGAGAGAGAGAGAGAGAGAGAGAGAGAGAGAGAGAGGTTTTCCATCTGTTGGTTTACTCCACTCCCCAAATGGCCACAATGGCCGGGGCTGGGCTGATCCAAAGGCAGGAGCCAGGAGCTCTTTCTAGGTCTCCCATGTGGGTGCAGGAGCCCAAGGACTTGGGCCACCTTCTGCTGCTTTCCCAGACCATAGCAAAGAACTGGATTGGAAGTGGAGCAGCCAGGACTCAAACCGGTGCCCATATGGGATACTGACACTGCAGGCCAGGGCTTTAACTCACTGCGCCACAGCACCGCCCTCCTGAGGCAGTTATTAGTGGTATTAGCCCACTGAAGATCCTGTTCACTTTATTGATTGATGCCTTTGTCACCATAGAATGGACATCCCTTTTTATCGCTGATAATTTTTCTGTTAAAATCCGATGCTAACATAGCCGCTCCAGCTCTCTTTTAATTCCTATTATCATAAGGATTTTCCTTTTTCTATCTTTCAATTTTAAACTCTTGTTTGTCTTTTTAAAAATTTTTTTAATTTTTTAATTTTTTTTTTGACAGGCAGAGTGGACAGTGAGAGAGAGAGAGACAGAGAGAAAGGTCTTCCTTTTGCCGTTGGTTCACCCTCCAATGGCCGCCTTGGCCGGCGTGCTGCGGCCGGCGCACCGCGCTGATCCGATGGCAGGAGCCAGGAGCCAGGAGCCAGGTGCTTTTCCTGGTCTCCCATGGGGTGCAGGGCCCAAGCACCTGGGCCATCCTCCACTGCCTTCCCGGGCCACAGCAGAGAGCTGGACTGGAAGAGGGGCAACCGGGACAGAATCCGGCGCCCCGACCGGGACTAGAACCTGGTGTGCCGGCGCTGCTAGGCGGAGGATTAGCCTAGTGAGCCACGGCACCGGCCCAATTTTTTAATTTTTATTTACTTTAAAGTCAGAGTTACAAAGAGAGAGAAGGAGAGGCAGACAGAGAGAGGTCTTCCATCCGCTGGTTCACTCCCCAGATGGCCGCATTGGCTGGAGCTGGGCCAATCTGAAGCCAGGAGCCAGGAGCTTCCTCCGGGTCTCCCACGCAGGTGCAGGGGCCCAAGGACTTGGGCCACTTTCTACTGCTTTCCCAGGCCATAGCAGAGAGCTGGATTGGAAGTGGAACAGCTGGGACTCGAACCAGCACCCATATGGGATGCCAGCACTGCAGGTGGCGGCTTTACCCACTCCGCCACAGCGCTGGCCCTTTGTTTGTCTTTTAATTTAAGATGTGATTCTTGGAGACAGCATATGGTTGAGTGTTTTTTTTTTTTTTTCACCAACCCTTACAGTTTACATTTTAATGGTATGCTTAGGTCATGTGTAATTTTTTTTTAAGATTTATTTGTTTGAAAGGCAGAGTTACATAGAGGCAGAGGGAGAGATCTTTCTTCCACTGGTTCACTCCCCAGATGGCCACAATGGCTGGAGCTGAGCTGATCTGAAGCCAGGAGCCAGGAGCTTCCTGCAGGTCTCCCAGGTGGGTGCAGGGGCCCAAGGACTTGAGCCATCTTCCACTGCTTTCTCAGGCCACAGCAGAGAGCTGGATCATAGGCAGAGCAGCTAGGACTTGTACTAGTACCCATGTGGGATGCCAGCACTGCAGGCAGCAACTTTACCCACTGTGCCCCGGTGCCGGCCCCCTTTGTAATCTAATTATTAGTATGGTCGAGTTTAAAAGGAAATGGGGATTATAAAATGGTACAGTCTCTCCTTGAAAAACAGTTTGACAGTTTTTTAGAAAGTGAAACAATTCTATTCCTAGGTATCTCCTGAAAAGAAATGTAAACATATGTCCACACAAAGACTTGTAAATGAATGTACACAATTTATAATTATTCAAAAGAGCCCAGGGGTCAGTGCTGTGGCATAGTGTGTAAAGTTGCCTCCTGGGACAACAGCATCCCATATGGGCACCGGGAAGTCCTGGCTGCTCCACTTCCCTTCCAGCTCCCTGCTGATGGCCTGGGAAAGCAGTGCATGGGCCCCCTGAATCCTTGTGGGAGACCCAGAGGAAGCTCCTGGCTCCTGGCTTCAGATGGGCCCAGCTCTGGTGACTGTGGCCATTCGGGGAGTGAACCAGCAGATGGAAGACCTCTCTCTCTCTCTCTGCCTCTGCCTCTCTGTAACTCTGCCTTTCAAATAAATAAATAAATCTTTAATAATTAAATAAATAAATGGAAATGGGGAGGGGAGGAGGGAGAAATGAAAAAGACAGCCCAGGTGGGGCTCAGGAAAGCAGGCTGGAGCCCCTATGCTGCTGTCCTCGGCTCTCTCACCGCTGAGCCCGAGCCAGCTTGGACATGTTGTGAGTTGTCTAGAGAGTAAAGGGCCCACCCAGGGCCAAACATTTGGACAGACAGACAGACAGGTGTCTGTACACCATGGTAGGGGGCCTTAAGGACAGAATTAATTCAGAATTAATTGTCTCCAGCCCCAGGCCAGGGACTTGGATGTTATAGGCAAGTGTTTGTGGAACGAATGAGCCAATGAGAGAATGCACCTAGAGTAGGTGAATGAGGGTTAGTAGGTGAAAGACAGGTCGTCGTCAGGTAACAGGTGATACCATCAAGGACCAAACTTACCATGTTTACTTTCTTATCTGCTAATTGGGAATACTTCGCTAATTGGCAATACTTCTGCATGTGTGTCTGTTTATACTGACAGGCTCATTCACTCATTTACCAAGTGTTTATTAAGTGCCTTCGGAGTGCCAGGCACAGGTCTAGGCCCTGAGCAAATAGTGATTGTCCCTTTCATTTGTAAAGGTCTTGTGGCATGATTATCACCTTCAGTGAGTTGACCGTGCCTTCCCCTTCAGGAAACTGCAAAAATATGTGTGGGGAGCAACTCGGACTATACTGTTACTGGAATTAAGACTTATTCTATGCATCTGCTCTCCCACAATATGGCGCTGGGAGAGGAGTAAACAGCTTCTACCCAGCTGCCTCTCACCAACTTTGACAAGCTGCAGGAGCTGCTCCTGATTGGAGGAGAGCAGCGTGCTCGGCGTGTGGGCAGCCGAGTTGGGATTGGCGGAGGAGGACTATATAGGAGGAGAGAGACGGCATGGTGGTGTGGGTTGGTTGGAGAGTGCGTTGGAGAGTTCGCGGGGAAGTTCGTTACTTCGTTCTTTCTCATTTCTCTCTACTCATTCTTGCTTTGGGAGTTTGCTGTTTACTTATTCTTACTTTACTATAGAAAGGACTTGTAAAAAAAGGGAACAACAAGCGCCCGGTCCGGTGCGGCTCCTCCGCGTGCGGAGGAGCAGCAAGTGGTGCCGTGACTCGGATATGAAGCCTTGGCAGGGTTTAGTGTCGTTCCTCCACAAAGAGGGGGAGCGACAATATGTCCATTTATGTTATTGATTTATTAAAGATTTGTTTATGTGAAAGGCAGAGCTAGAAAGAGAAGGGGAGAGGGAGAGAGAGAGAGAGAGAAATCTTCATTTTATTGGTTCACTCCCCAAATGTCTGCAACAGCCTAGGCTGGGCCAGGCCGAAGCCAGGATCCGGAACCTCTGATCAAGTCTCTCCACTGCTCTCCCAAGCACATTAGCAGGGAGCTGGATCAGAAGTGGAGCACCCGCACCTGGAACTTGAACCAGTACTCATATGGCATGTCAGTGTCACAGGCAGTTTAACCCGCACCACTACAACACCAACCCCTATTTTATTTTATTTTTCGAAGACTTATTTGAAAAGCAGAGTGACAGAGAGAAGAGAGTAAAAGAGAGACAGAGTCATTCTTCAAATGACTACAACAGCTAGGGCTGGGCCAAGCCAAAGCCAGGAGCCCAGAACTCCACCCAACCCTCCCTTGTGGGTGGCAGGGACCTAAGCACTTGAGCCGTCATGTACAGATGGAAGACCTGACCTCTCTCTCTCTGCCTCTGCCTCTCTGTAACACTGCCTTTCAAATAAATAAATCAATCTTTAAAAAAAAACAAGTCAAATATACACACACACACACACACACACACGTGTATGTGATGGTAATGGATAAAAAACCAGACAGACAGGTGGCCAAGTTCTCATCAAACTGATGATGTCACTAGGAACGAAGGGTCAGTTAGAACGCAGGCTCTGGCAGTTACCATAGGAGCTGTGGCTGGGCAGAGGGCACCTGGAGCTCCCCTGGGACCTTCCACCTCCAAAGCAGTTGACACTATGTGTCCAGGGCTGGGTGGCAGAGTCTCGGGATACCTTGTGACTGCCACGGCGGCCCAGGATGGAGAAGGACAACCCCTCTGAGTTAGCGACTCCCCCATCTGTGAAAGCCATCATCTCCAGGATTGAGACGGCGCAGCTGATGCGGGCTCAAGAGGTAACTCCAGAGATGAGGGAATCAGTCTTCTGTTGGGGTCTGTGGTTGGGGCTGGAGACGGATCCCAGGTTCGAGCGCAATTTCAGCTCTGGGCTCTCAGGGGTCCCGGGATTTGCAGGCTGATTAGTGGGAAATACCCGGCTCTTACACTGGCTTCTAGAGGGTGAGTTGGAACCAACCACCCCACTGGGGCAGAGCTGGACGCACCAGAGTAGTCTGAAGCAGTGAGGGCGGGCAGAGTTCTGGACTCAGGGTCTGCTCTTGGCAGCCTGCTCAGGACGCTCACAGGGTTGGAGAAGTGGCCAAAGGCTCAGTCCACCTGTTCAGGAGGCTCCCTGGGACCACTGTTCTTCACGTTGCCTCTGCATCCTTTGAAAAGGAGAGGTCTGGAAGCTCCCCGTGAGGTCTGAAATCCTGAAGAAATGTCTGCCAAAGTATTTTCAGTGTTGAGTTCCTTCCTGTCTCAATAATCCAAAAGCTAATTAATGACCATGGTGATAATCAGATATGATGATGTCGTCATGTGTGGTGTGTGCCAGGCCCTATTCTAAGCACTTTACAAATACTGATCCATTCAGTTCTCTCTCTTTTTTTAATGATTTATTTATTTGAAAAGCAGAGTTACAGAGAGAAGGAGAGAGAAACAGAGAGATCTTCCATTTGCTGGTTCACTCTCCAGATGGGCACAACAGCCAGGTCTGGGCCAGGCTGCAACCAGGAGCCAGGAGCTTCTTCCAGGTCTCCCACGTGGGTGCAGGGACCCAAGCACTTGGGCTATCTTCTGATGCTTTCCCAGGTGCATTAGCAGGGAGCTGGATGAGAAGTAGAACAGGAGCCAGCGCTGTGGCGTAGTGGGCTAACCCTCCATCTGCCGCACCAGAATCTTGTATGGGCACCAGTTCAAGTCCTGACTGCTCCTCTTCTGATCTAGCTCTCTGCTGTGGCCTGAGAAGGCAGTGGAAGATGGCCCTGGGTGCTTGGGCCCCTACACCCACATGGAAGACCTGGAGGAGGCTACTGGCTCCTGGCTTCAGATAGGCTCAACTCCCACCATTGCGGCCATTTGGGGGAGTGAACCAGCAATGGAAGACCTTTCTCTCTGTCCCTCCCTCTCTCTAGCTGTAACTCCACCTCTCAAATAAATAAAAATCTTTAAAAAAAAAAGAAGAAGTGGAACAGCCAGGATTCAGACCAGCGCCCATATGGAATGCTGGCATCGCATGTGGCAGTTTAACTCATTACACCACAACGCCGGGCCCCTAACTTGTTTAATTCTTACAGCAATCCTGTGCCATTCTAACAATCCCCTCTTTAAAGATAAGCAAGCTAGGACCCAAAAGGGTTGAGTGACTAGTCCAGGGCCACACTGCTCCGGGACCCCCCTTTTCCAAACCCTGCCATCTGCTCCCTCCCATACAGGACATTGCCAGCCAGCTCTCGGGCATCCTGGGCAACGTTAACTGTGCCATCAACCGCTTCCAGGAAGCACTGGGCTATGATTTGAAAGAAAAGGCCGACCCTCGCCAGTCAGACCAGAAGAGCAAGGAGAGATTCACCTTGCTGGAGAAGCTCGCCTCCTTCTCCAGTGGCGCTAAGGCGAAAGAGCAGCATCTGTGTGAAATTCGCCGCTGGCTGGCTGACTGGGGTGAGTCTGCCGGCGTGCAGGGTGGGAGGGCGGGAGGGGTGCCCTCCTTCCGGGACGCTGGTCCCCGCCTGCTCACTCTCCTTTTCTCCACCTCAGTCAGCATCTGCTGGGAGGGAACTGTGGGGCAGCGGGTGCGGGGAGGCGAAGGACACGCGGCCTTTCCCTGGGGAGCTTCCCACCTCTCACTCCTGTCCCGCACGTCACCTCTGCTCCCCATGTCGTTCACGTCACACACGTCACCTCTGCTCCCTATGTCACTCATGTCACACACCTCACCTCTGCTCTCCACGTCACACGCATCACCTCTGCTCTCCATGTCACACACGTCACCTCCGCTCCCCATGTCACTCGTGTCATACACCTCACCTCTGCTCCCTATGTCACTCATGTCACACACATCACTTCTGCTCCCCATGTCATTCACGTCACCTCTGCTCTCCATGTCGCTCATGTCACCTCTGCTCCCTTTGTCACTCGTGTCACACACGTCACCTCTGCTCTCCATGTCATTTACGTCACACATGTCACCTCTGCTCTCCATGTCACTGTCCAAATGTAGCAACATCGTGACCTTAGCTGACTAGTCACAACACCTGCATCCCAGGTCCACTGTGACAGCTCATTTTTTTTTAAAGAGGACAGAAAATGAATTCAAACCCACAGTAGGTATGAGGGTATTTTAAAAAGCTGGTGGAGGGGCTGGCGCTGTGGCACAGTGGGTTAAAGCCCTGGCCTGAAGTGCCGGCATCCCATATGGGTGCCGGTTCTTGTCCCAGCTGGTCCTCTTCTGAATCCAGCTCTCTGCTATGGCCTGGGGTAGCAGTAGAAGATGGCCCAGATCCTTGGGCCCCTGCACCCATGTGGGAGACCTGGAAGAAGCTCCTGGTGGCTCCTGGCATCAGATTGACGCAGCTCCAGCCATTGCAGCCATTTGGGGAGTGAACCAGTGGATGGAAGACCTCTCTCTCTCTCTGTCTCTCCCTCTCCCTCTCTCTGTAACTCTGTCTTTCAAATAAATAAAATAAATCATAAAAAATTATTATAAAAAGCTGGTGGAAACATCTAACTTTTTAAAGAGATTTGTTTTTATTTATTTGAAAGGCAGAGTTACAGAGAAAGACAGAGAGAGAGGTCTTCCATCTGCTGGTTCACTGCCCAAAAGATTCCAGCGTCTGGGGCTGGGCCAGGCCAAAGCCAGGATCCTGGAACTCCATCCGGGTCTCCCATATATGGGTGGCAGGGACCCAAGGACTTGAGCTATCTTCCACTGCTTTCCCAAGCGCAGGTGGCAGGGACCCAAGGATTTGAGCCATCTTCCACTGCTTTCCTAAGCGCATTAGCAGAGAGCTGGATCAGAAGTGGAGCAGCTGGGACTCGGGCTGGTGTGCGTATGGGATGCCAGCACTGCACATGGTGGCTTTACCCGCTATGCCACAGCGCCAGCCCTCACCAACTTGACATTCCCTCATATTTTGTGGAGGAGCCCGAGGGTGATAGTTACGGCACTGACCGCTCCTTAACTGCATGTTCTCTGATACCAGCCCCTGGGGTGTGGCCCAGCCACACCCAGCCCTGAAGCCAGATGGGGGTCATCCCGTAAGCTGGATGCTGCAGGCTCAGAGGACGGTGTAGGCATATGCCCCACCCCGCTCACTGCCGCTGCTGGGAGCTCTTGGTGAGAGAGCTGTTGACCACACTGAATGCATCTAATTGTCCATCTGCCGAGGGCCAGGCAACCGGCACCGCGCAGGAGCAAGAGAGAGACCTGTTGCCTTGTAGGACGATACTTAGAGTCTCTGGTGCATTTCTGCTCAGCCCACCTTGTGTTGATCACTTTAAGTCTCTTCTCATTTGCTCCTCCACCAATCCTTTTACAGGAAGTAGGGGATGTGCGCAGTCTCCCATCTGTCGCTAATGAGACGTGAAACCAGTGTAACTGCAAAGCCGCCGCCGGGACCCCGCTGCTGTGGGGCCGCACGGCTCCCTTGGGGACAGACTGTTCTCAGCCTCTACCCCTACTCCTTGTGCAGGTGAAAGTCTCACCTATGAGATTAGGAGCAGGGAGAGCGAGGAGGAAGAGGAAGTCGTGGACGAATGGATTGAGGTGATGGAGAAAGTGTTGCCTCTCTCCCTCATTGCCACCAAGGGAGGCATTGAGTCTCTCATCTCGCTCTGCTCCACCCTCATCGAAGAGCAAAGGAAAAAGACACAAAGTAGGTCCGGGGGGCAGGGGTGGAGCTAGGTGGGCAGTGGGCAGGGGCTGCCCCTCAGGGATGGACATAGGGCTCCCTGCAGGTGCTGCCTGCAGCTGTGGCCGCTTGGGGTTCTGGCGAACAGAGCCAGGAGTCCAGGAAGCCTGCTGTTTGTAGCTGGAGTCAGAGAACATCTTTCCTCACACCCAACCCAGTGACAGAGCCGGGAAGTTTAGTGCAGCTCAGCCAGAGGCCCCTCCAGGTCCGGGAGGTGCTCGGGCAGCAAGGCCAAGCCTTGGCACCGTGCCCCTAGCGATGCTGGGGGTGTGACATGCACCTTGTAGATGAGAATGCTGACACTCAGGGAAGGGACCACAGAGAACTCTGACAGCGGAGCCAGGCCTCGTGCTAGGGTCTCCTGGCTTCTTGACTGTATCAAGAGCTTGGGGTTTGCGGTCTGACAGACCTGACTCTGAACCCCATCTCTGCCCTTTCCTGACTGCGTGACTTTGGATGAGTTGCTTCCTTTCTCTGAGTCTCAGTTTCCTTGTATATCAAATTAGGAGGTTGGGGCCAGTGCTGTGGCGTAGTGGGTAGAGCTGCTGCCTGCAGTGCCGGCATCCTATATGGGCACCAGTTCGAGTCCTGGATGCTCCACTTCCTATCCAGCTTCCTGTTAATGCACCTGGGAAAGCAGCAGAAGATGGCCCAGGTCCTTGGGCCCCTGCATCCATGTGGGAGACCCAGATCTTCCATCTATTGGTTCACTCCCCAAGTAGCCACGACTCCCAGAACTGGGCCAGGAGCTTGGAACTCTATTCGGGTCTCCCCTCTGGGGGGCAGGGGCCCAAAACACTGGAACTGGCACCCACATGGGAGGCTGGTGTCACAGGCGGCAGCTTGACCCATGGCTCACAACACCAATCCCAGTTATTTGTATAGTTATTTCTAAATTCTAAATTCCTGGAGGCCAAAGACTATGTCTTAAGGCTGGCCACGGCATGCATTTCCTGGAGAGGGCTCACTGCTTGCAAAGGAATTGGTGATATCCTACATGGGAAAAGAAACAAGTAATTCAAAAACAAACCCGTGTGAACCCATGGCAGGACTGAAAAGCATAGTTCAGGCTAACAGGTAGGCTGAAGGGGTCTGGGTAGATAGTGAGGCTGTGAAGTGGCATGATTAGAAAAGTAACTACTCCAGAACAAGGCAGGTGAGGGGGGTGTGGGGTGGAGTTGAGCTGTGATGATCTTGGGCCCCCCGCCGGGATAGAAGGTGCTGTGGAGCTGGCAGACGGAGGCTACGCTCTGGGCGAGCTCTGGGCCCGGCAGACTCCTGAGAGTTTCCAACCAGCCCGTGCTCTGTTTTCTAGCCAAATCCCTAAGAGGGTTGCGTGGGCATGCTGGCCAAGCAGGGTCTGGAGAAATCATAGTAATCCTTGGGCCACGTGGGTGTTCACTGCCCTTTTTTCCCTCTCTACCTCTCCAGTATCCAGACACACCTTTTGGCGGGGCTGGTGGGACATTAGCTCCCCCAAATCGACAGCTCACCGTCAGCCCCTAAGCCCGGAGCAGATGCTGCAGGATAGGCACACCACCTGCACGAGGGTCTCGGAGGTGACGAGCATGCTGCAGGAGCTCCTGGACTCGGCCATGTTCAGCAGGGGCGAGGTCAAGGCCATCAGGTACATGTCAGCCACCGTGGAGAACCTCAGCAAGGCCTTGATGCTGCAGCACAAGGAGAACAGGAGCCTGGAGAGCAAATGCCAGTGCCTGCAGGCGGAGATGACCAGGGAGCTCAGCCGCCAGAGGCTGCACTTCCAGAGGGCCACTGAGGCCCTAGAGAGCAAGCGGGACGCCCTGCTGAAGAAGGTCAAAGTCCTGCAGGAGAGGCACCGTGACCTCCTCCTGACAAAGCATGCCCTAGCGTTCCAGCTGGAGAAGCTGCAAGCGGCCAGAGGTCAAGCAGGAGACCTGCCCCAGGTCCTCGCTGAGTCCCCGGGCCCCTTAGAGAAAGAAAGCTCCCCAAAGGACAGACGGCTCATGGAGGAAACCCACCCAGAAGCGCAGAAGAGGGAGCAGGTGTCTTCCCCAGCTTTCTCTAGTCCGGTGACCCTGGCCTGGGACGGTGGGGCCATGCCCCCAGCACATCAGCCGCTGTCCACCATGACCATGCATTCGAGGGTCGCGGATGTGTTCAACAGCAAGGACACAGAGGGCCTGGAGCCCCCACTGATCTCCTCCTTGGATCACAAGCTTCCTAAGAAGCAGGAAAGCCTGGGGCCGGGAGCTGGAGACCGCAGGGACCACTTCGAGGAGAAGGGGGGCCTCCACGTGAAGTCTCGTTCGGGGAGGAGCTCCAGCAAGGCTCCCCCTGAGAGCCAGGGCGGGTGCTTGGAGGAGGAGCTCAGCAGGGAGAAGCAGAGGCCGCCGGAGGAGGAGTGGGAGGAGGAGACAGGGCTACCGCTGCAGGAGTGGCCAGCGCGGGAGCAGCTGCAGCCATGGGAGATGGAGTGGACAGCCAGGGGGCAGCCTCAGAGGTCCCAGAAGCAGCCAGAGAGCCCGAGGAGGGGGCTGGGGCAGCCACTGGAGGACGTGGACAGGACGGTCTGCACGACCACCAGTCAGCGGAGGAACAAGAAGGCAGAGCCATTGCCAGCGCCTCCCCCGAGTTGGGCCCGATCTGCTTGCCAAGGCAGGAGGCCACACTTGCCCAGGTCCCCCAGCACCCGGCAGCCCAGGACCATGGGTGCAGTGGAGTTTACTCAGAAGCCCTGGGCCTGCAGGGTCCCCATGGAGCCCAAGAAGTCTGCCTCCTTCCCCATCACCGGGACGCCCGTCCGGAGGGTGGCCCAGCCCTCTCGGCAGAGGTCCCTGGGCACTCTGAGGGAGAAGACATTCCACCTGGACACGGAGGCCCAGCGGAAGAACCTGCAGCTCCTGAGGGAGGCGTCGGGGTTGGGGCTGCCCCACCACCTGCACAGCAAGGCGTCGGAGCTCATCGCCGCCACCCTGGAGCTGGGCGTGCTCAGGCTACAGTGCTTATGCCACAAGTATATCCTCTACCGGCGCTTCCAGGGCCTGCGGTAGGTCCTCACCCACACCCACTGCCGCGTGTGGGCGGAGCCAGAACCCAGGGGCAGAATCGCCCATGCCTGGGCCTGGGTCTGCCGAGGGGGCTCCAGCCAAGGGTGTCTGTCCTCGGGACCCCAGGGAACCCCGGCAGGTGCGGGAGGCTGGCGCTCCCGTGCAGCTCTCCTTGCAGTGGACTTTCCTGGAAGCCTGCTTTCCACTTCTTCCTGTCTCCCAACACTCTGCCCGTAACCTTGCCTAATGTGCTCCCCTCGTTTTGTGTCACTCAACAGTTGTTGTTAATGTTTATTTATTTGAAAGGAGAGACAGCAAGACAGAGAGAGAGAGAGAGATCTTGCATCCACTGGTTTATTCCCCCAGATGGCCATAACAGCCAGGGCTGGACCAGGCCAGAGCCAGGAGCCTCATCTGGGTTGCCCACACGGGTGCAGGGGCCCAGGCACTTGGGCTCTCCTCCGCTGCTTTCCCAGGCGCATTAGCAGGGAGCTGGGTTGGAGGCGGAGCAGCCAGGACTCCAACAGGCCCCCATAGGCTTGTCACGCCGGCTTAACCCCCCCCCCCCCCCCCGCACCAGAGCGCTGGCCCCATTCTCTTCCTATTTCCAGCCAGGCCCCCAGGCTCCTCACCTGACACCCCTCCCACTTGCCTTCTCCCTGTTGCCCCCTTCTGGTTGCTCCTTGGAATTACAGAAAACGGGATCATCTCTGCGCCGCGGACTTGGCGGAGGTGGAGGCCTCTCCGCCCGCCCACCCACGACTCACAGCTCTTCTCTTCCCAGACTGGAAGTGATGAGCCGCCTGCTAGCCTCGCGAGAATCCGGGGCTGCCTCCGAGGCTCAGAACCTCTGTGGCTTGCTGGAGCGCATGGACCGGCGGCAGAGCCTCCAGCTGCGGGCCTGGGCCGACAGGCAGAAAGGCCTGGAGGAGAAGCGCCAGGAGTGCCTGAGCAGCATGGTGACCATATTCCCCAAGGTGGGCCTCCGCTGCTGCCCCCTGGAGGGCGTGGGGAGTCGGTGCAGCCAGGGAAGGCGGGGCGGGGCAGGGAGCCAGGGCCGCCGGGGGCTGTGACTGGGGGCTTAAAGCCCTGAGCGAGGGAGAGGTGAAGGCAGGAGGTCATCTGAGGGTAAGGAAGGGCTTTCTAGAAAACCCGTGGGCATGGGGAGAGAGAGCTCTTCGAAAAGATCGGTGGAAGAAAGATTCTTCCCGGACAAGGGGGCGGCTTGTGCTGGGATTCGCCCTCCCCGTGGCTGCCTCTGCCCTGCCCCGTCTGGCCCTGGCTGCTCTCCAAGCGTGGGACACAGCTGTCACCGTCTCCCTCTTGCTGGGGACTTGCTTTGCTTTCCCCGCCCCTGGTCAACTCCGTTGCGTTCTAGAGCCGGGTCTCTTCTTTCCGGGTCTGCTTCCTTGTTTTGGTGGAGACCCCCTCCAGTGCCTCCTCGACAGGGGGCGCAGGAGGTGAGCCAGCCGCCTGGCCGTTTCCCCTGGCCCGGGTATGGGAGCTGGGGCAGGGCCCGTTTTCCCTCACAGTCTTGAGGTTCTGGAGCCACTGTTGAAAGTCCAGAGTTCTCCTGAGACCCAGTCCTCTGGGTGTGGCCCATTTTTACTCTGAGAGCTGTGTGGGGTCTCTGTCTCTGTTGTTCCATAATGTCTTTTTTTCTTTTGAAAATTTTAATTATTTGAAAGACAGAGTTACAGAGAGAGGGAGGGAGAGACAGAGAGATCTTCCATCCACTAATTCACTCCCCAGATGGCTGCAACTGTCTGGGGTGGGCTGTGCCAAAGTCAGGAGCCAGCAACTCCATCTGGGTCTCCCACATGGGTGGCAGGGACCCAAGAACTCGGGCCATCTTCTGCTGCTTTCCCAGGCCATCAGAGAGCTGGATCAGAATGGGAGCAGCTGGGACTCGAACCAGTGCCCATAAGTGATGCCGATGTCACAGGTGGCAGCTTTGCTTTCTACGCCACAACAACGCTGGCCTCCATCCTACACGTTTCTAGTTTGACCTACATTCCCCTCCTCCATTCCATCCCTGATAACCATTGTCTCATTTTCTACCTTTATATATTTAGATTTTTTTGTAGATTTCATATATAAGTGAGGTCATGCAATATTTTTCTTTCTGTGTCTGGGCTCTTCCCTGAGAGTGCTGTCCTCTGGGTCTGTCCCTGTGGTGGAGAATGGCAGGGTCCCCTCCTGAAGAGCTGGGGATGGTCTGTCATACATATGCATAGCACAGTTTCTATCCATTCGGCCATCGACAGACACGTAGGGTGTCTGCATCCTGGCTGCGGGGAATGAAGCTGCAGTGGATATGGGAGGGCACGGGTCTTTACAAGGTGGCGATTTCACTTCCTGTGGGCGTGTACCCAGAAGAGAGAGTGTTGGTTCTCATGGGACTTCTCTCCTTCATTTCTTGAGGAACCTCCGTGCTGTTTTCCATAATGGCTGCCGCAGTGTGCACTTGTACCAGAAGTGTGCACACCCTTGCCAACACTTGCTGTCACTTGTCTGTCTGATGACAGCCATCTGAACAAGTAGCAGAAAGTGATACTCCAACAGGATTGCTTTTTTAAAAAATATTTATTTATTTATTTGAAAGGCAGAGTGACAGCAAGGCAGAGAAAGAGAGAAGAGAGAGGCCTTTCATCTTCTGGTTCACTCCCTAAATGGCCACAACAGCCAGAGCTGTGCCGATCCAAAGCCAGGAGCTTCTTCTGGGTCTTCCACGCAGGTGCAGGGGCCCAAGGACTTGGGCCACCTTCTACTGCTTTCCCAGGCCACAGCAGAGAGCCGGATCAGAAGTGGAGCAGCGGAAACTTGAACCGGTGCCCGTATGGGATGCTGGCACTGCGGGCGGCAGCTTTACCTGCTACCACAAGCACCACTCCCACACCCCCAACATGGTTTTGCTTTGCATTTTCTTGATCTTGTTAAGTGCCTTTTGGCCATTTTTACATCATCTTGCAATAAATGTCTGTTCAGGTCCTTTGCCCATTTTTAAAGGTGGGTCATATGTTTTCTTGCAATTGAGTTGTAAAGCTCTTCTTAGACTAATAAAACTTCCCTTGCCTTTTCCCGGTGTTAACAAGAAGGATGAAGGCAGTGGCAACATCTGCACATTCTTCTCCGCCCACACTTCCTGTTATTTTTAACACAGGGTGTACTATAATAGGGATTTGCGGACAGCAGTGTGTCTTGCGTGGCAGCAAGATGACAAGATCCCCATACTCTGTGATGGTAGGAAAGGGATTTATTTGCTAGCTACACAGAGGGAGCCCCTGGCCAACTGGAATGTACTTGGACTTTTCTCAGAAATATCAACATTTAAAACATCAGACGAGAGTCATTGCAGGCATCACATACGGAACACTCTAGGTATGGTAAGATTATCTTTTTTTAAGATTTATTTATTTGAAAGGCAGAGTTAAAGAGAGAGAGAGAGAGAGAGAGGTCTTCTATCCACGGTTCACTCCCCAAATAGCTGTTAACAGCCAGGGCTTGGGCCAGGCTGAAGCCAGGAGCTAGGAGCTTCATCCAGGTCTCCCAGATGGGAGCTGGGACCCAAGCACTTGGGCCATCTTTTGAGGCTTTCCCAGGCCATTAGCAGGGAGCTGGATCAGAAGTGGAGCAGCCAGGAACCAAACCTGTACCCGTACGGGATGCCGGCCTCTCGGGCAGTGGCTTTACCCACTACACCACAATGCCAGCCCCGGGAAGATTATCTTAAGGACTCTGTTTATCCCAAAGGGCTTGGGATGACTGCCAAGGTCACCCAGAGGGCAAGATGGTGGTTATGACAAAGAGAGCTACATGGATCCCTACATATAGGAGCAAATATTTGAAAATTATATATTTGGCAGATGTATTAAAAATTCCTACACATCAATAACAAGAGCAAATAACTCCATTTAAAAATGGGGAAATGACGTGAAAAGGTATTTCTCCAGGCACACAAATGTACACAGCACAAAAAAAGATATTCCAGTGATCATTACCAAAATGAAACTCAGTAATGCAATGAGATTCCACTTCATACCCAATTGGATAGCTGCTACCCAAAAGAGAAAAAACAGGCTGGCATTGTGGCATAGCAGGTAAAGCTACTACCTACAACGCTGGCATCCCATATGGACACCAGTTCGATTCTTGGCTGTTCCATTCCGATCCAGCTCCCTGCTAATGGCCTGGGACAAGCAGTGAAGGACGGCCTGACTACTTGAGCCCCTGTTACCCACGTGGGAGACTCAGAGGAAGCTCCTGGCTCCTGGCTTTTGCTGGGTTCTTCTGTGGCCATTGCAGCCATCTAGGGAGTGAGCCAGTGGATGGAAGACCTCTCTCTGTCTCCCTCTCCTTATCTCTCTCTCTCTCTCTCTCTCTGTAATTCTTTCAGATAAATAAACCTCTTTTAAAAAAGAAATAAAAAACCAGAAACCAAAACTAAGTGTTGGTGAGGTTGTGGATTGGCTACTTGTGCACTGTTGGTGGGAATGTGAAATAGCACAGGTACTGTGGAAAATAATTCCCCCAAAATTAAAAATAAAGGATCCCATATGGTTTAGCATTCCACTTCTGAGCACAAACTCAGAAAGAATTGAAAGCAGAGTCCCAAACAGGTAACTCGTCTTTGTAGCAACGTCATTCCCTAAATTTTCCAGTGACCACCAGCAGATGGAGCATAAAGCAGCGTGGTATATACACACATCCAGTGGAATAGCGACACTCCGCCGAAAGGAAAGAAATCCTGACACGTGCCACAGCGTATGTGAGCTTGGAGGACATTATGCTGATGAGATCAGCCAGTCACAAAAAGGCAAATACTATATGACTCCACTGTTAAGAGGTACCAATTAGGGGGCCAGCACTGTGGCTCAGTAGGCTAGGCCTTTGCCTGCGGTGCCAGCATCCCATATGGGTGCCGGTTCAAGTACTGGCTGCTCCACTTCTGGTCCAGCTCCCTGCTAATGGCCTGAGAAAGCAATAGAAGATGGCCCGAGTGTTTGGGTCCTGCACCCACATGGGAGACCTGGAGAAGGCCCGGGCTCCTGGCTTCTGATTCGCTCAGCTCCCTCCATTGCGGCCATTAGGGGAGTGAACCAGCAGATGGGAGGCCTCTCTAACTCCGCCTTTCAAATAAATAAATACTTCTTTAAAAAAAAAAAAGAAAGAAAGAAAAAGAGGTACCGATAGGTACCAATAGATTCACAGAGAGAGTACAGGAGCGGTAGGGAAGGGACACAAGGAATTCCTGTCTAGCAGGCATAAGGCTTTATGTTTGCAAGAAAAGAAGAGTTTTGGAGATTAGTAAAATGCTAAAATTTCTCCCTTGTGGAATCTCTGATATTTATTGAGACTGGAGTTTTATTTAAAGGATCCCCCCACATTCATGAAGCAGGTAAACCTCCCTTCATTATGGATTTTCTGGTGATGAATCAGGTGACCTGGGACTTTAAAAATACAATTATTGGGGAGCTGGCGCTGTGGCACAGCAGGTTAATGCCCTGGCCTGAAGTGCCAGCATCCCATATGGGTGCCTGTTCAAGACCCGGCTGCTCCACTTCCAATCCAGCTCTCTACTATGCCCTGGGAAAGCAGTAGAAGATGGCCCAAGTCCTTGGGCCGCTGCACCCACGTGGGAGACCCAGAAGAAGCTCCTGGCTCCTGGCTTCGGATCGGCGCAGCTCCGGCCAATGCGGCTATCTGGAGAGTGAACCAGAGGATGGACGATCTCTCTCTCTCTCTCTCTGCCTCTCCTCTCTCTGTGTAACTCTGACTTTCAAATAAATAATAATTTTAATTTATAATAATAAATATATAATATTTAATAAATTATTAATATGTTATATATTAATGCATTAGATGACAATATAATAATAAATTGATTTCTTTATTTGAAAGAGTTACACAGAGAGGCAGAGAGAGAGAGAGGTCTTCCATCCACTGGTTCACTCAATTGGTTGCAATGGCTGGAGCTATGCTGATCCGAAGCCAGGAGCCAGGAGCCTCATCCGGGTCTCCCATGTGGGTGCAGGGGCCACTGCTTTCCCAGGCCATAGCAGAGAGCTGGATCAGAAGTGGAGCAGCAGGGACTTGAACCGGCGCCCATATGGGATGCCAGCACTGCAGGTGGTGGCCTTACCCCCTATGCCACAGCACCAGCCCCTAGCACCAGCCCCTCCAGCTTATCTTTTTAAAGTGACTAAAGTGGGGAGGGAGCAGGCATTTAACCTAGCAGTTAAGCACCTGCCTCCCACGTCCGAGTACCCAGGTCCTGTTCCTGGCTCTGGCTTCTGACTCCAGCTTCCTGTTAACGCAGATCCTGGAAGGCAGTGGTGATGTCTCAAGGAACTGGACTCCTGCCACCCTCCTGGGTGATCTGGATGGAGGTCCTGGCTTGATCCTGGCTCGTGTTTGGGGAGTAGACTGGCAGATAGGATCTCTCTTTCTCTCCTCTCTGTCTCTTAAATAAATAAAAAATTTAAAATAAAACTAAAAGTGGCCGGCGCCGCGGCTCATTAGGCTAATCCTCTGCCTACGGCGCCGGCACACCGGGTTCTAGTCCCGGTTGGGGCGCCGGATTCTATCCCGGTTGCCCCTCTTCCAGGCCAGCTCTCTGCTGTGGCCAGGGAGTGCAGTGGAGGATGGCCCAGGTGCTTGGGCCCTGCACCCCATGGGAGACCAGGAAAAGCACCTGGATCCTGGCTCCTGCCATCGGATCAGCGCGGTGCGCCGGCCGCGGCTGCCATTGGAGGGTGAACCAACGGCAAAGGAAGACCTTTCTCTCTGTCTCTCTCTCTCACTGTCCACTCTGCCTGTCAAAAATAAATAAATAAATAAATAAATAAATAAATAAAACTAAAAGTAACAAACTGTTATCAAGGACAGGATTTTTTTAAAAATATTTATTTATTTGAAAGGCCAAGTTACAGAGAGACAGAGAGAGATCCATCCACTGGGTAACTCCACAAATGACTGGAGCTGGACTTGTCCAAAGCCGGGAGCCAGGAGCTTCCCTGGGCCACCAGTGTTTGCTTTCCTAGGTGCATTAGCAGGGAGCTGGCCCCAAATTACAACTCTTGAGAGAACATTTCGAGTTTTGGAAAACTTGTATTCCCTGCCAAGAGCTTGACACACGAAGTCTTCCCTGATGAAATTGCTCATCCTGCTCACCGACGTTCTGCTGTTATTGTGCAGGTATCCCTCAGTAACCGCGGGGATCAGTGTTCACAGATGCCAGCATCCGCGGGTGCTCGGGTCCCTTACATAAAGTGGCATGGGATTTGCATGTAATTTATGCACATCCTCCTGCGTGCTTTCAGTCACCTCTTACAATGTAAATGCTATGTAAATAGCTGTTATATTGTACTGTCAAGGGAATCATGATAAGAAAAAAAGAATTGGGGCCTGTGCTGTGGCATAGCGGGTCACCTGCAGTGCCAGCATCCCATATGGGCATTGGCTTGAGTCCCAGCTGCTCCACTTCCCATCCAGCTCTCTGCTGTGGCTTGGGAAAGCAGTAGCAGATGGCCCAAGTCCTTAGGCCCCTGCACCCACATGGGAGACCTGGAAGAAGCTTCTGGCTCCTGGCTTCAGATTGGCTCAGCTCTGGCCATTGTGACCATTTGGGGAGTGAACCAGTGGATGGAAGACTCTCTCTCTCTCTCTCTCTCTCTCTCTCTCTCTCATCTCTTCCCCTGGCCCTTCTCTGTCACTCTGCTGGTGAAATAGATAAGTAAATCTTTAAAAAGTGGGGATTAAGCTGCCACTAGCAATGCCAGCATCCCATGTGAGTGCTGGTTTGAGTCCTGGCTGCTGCTCCACTTCCAATCCAGCTCCCTGCTAGTGCACCTGGGAAGGCAGCGGAAAATGAGTCAAGTATACCTGGGAAAGCAGCAGAGGATGAACCAAACACTTGGGCCATTCTCTGCTGCATTCCTAGGCGCATTAGAGTGAGCTGGATTGGAAACGGAGCAGCAGCCAGGACCTGAACCAGCACCCTTGGGATGCCAGTGTCACAGGTGTCAGCCTAACCTGCCATGCCACAACACCGGCCCTGCTTACCCCATTTGCTTATTCTTCTCTGCTGTTTCCCAGAGATTTTCATTTTTGGAATAGTTTCATCAAGTTTATTTTCCTGTCCTTTTATTGAGTTTTTCATGTCTGCTCTATTTTTAATTTCTAGAAACTCTCGTTCTCTGACTTTTTTTTTTATTTTTGGTATCTTGTCTCTTATTTCTTGGATGCGATATTCTCTCCTGCCGGTTTGAGAATGTTAAAAATAGCTTTGGGAAGTTTCGTTTCCTTGCGTGGTCTCAGGGTCCTTCAAGTTGCATTTTTGGATTGTTTTTGGTCTCTGTCTTTCACGTCTTCTTTGAGAGTGCTCTGGGCGTCTGAGCTCTCTGCTTTTATTTGAGGTGAGCATAAAAAGCCCAGTGGAAGCGTTTTCAGTATTGGGATGTTGGGAGAGGACTCGCACCAAATAGGGGTTCCGTTAAGGGTTATCTGGGTTCATGCATAGTCAACGCTGGACAACGTAGCACCCCAAAACTCAGAGGCTTGCCATAACAGTAGTCGTTTATCGTGCCTCGCAGTGACTGTGGGTCCGGAACTTGGGGACGTTTGGGCTGTTTGTTCTGGCTGAAGGGCCCTCCTGTCTTCTGAAGACAGGGCGGCTCCCAAGGCAGTGGACTCACATAGCTGGCAAAGCCGCTCTGCCTCTCAGCAGAAGCCATGCCTCCTCTCCACCAAGTCCTTTGCACAGAGCTCCCGGAGTGTGCCCGTACTCATGGCTGGCTTCCCCGGGAGCAAGTGATCCAAGAGGTTTGCGTTACTATACCGAAATGCCTGAGGCTACTAACTTAGGAAGAGAAGGGGTGGGTTCATTTAGTGCACAGTCCAGGATCAGGCGGGCCCGGCAGTCCAGCCTCTGGTGACAGCATTCTTGCTGACAAGAGTCCCGGAGTGGCACAGAGCGTGACATGGCAGGAGACAGGGAGTGCGTGCATCTGCGTACGTCAGAATGGTCTTCTTTTTCACAGTATCTGAAAGGCTGGGTCTCTGCTGCTTCACTCCCCCTCTGTGCCTGCAACAGCCAGGGCTGGGCCCAACTGGAGCCATCCAGGTCTCCCATGGGAGGGGCAGGGACCCTAGTATTTGAGCCATCATCCGCTGCCTCTCCGGGTGCACAGTAGCAGGGAGCTGGGGCTTGAACCAGGCACTCTAGGGTGGAATGTGGGCATCCCAAGCAGTGAGGTAACCACTGCGCCCGCACTCGCCCCTGTGCAGTCTCTCACAGAGCCAGCAGAACTCAGCCACGAGGGCTTCACCCTAACAGCCAGATCAGTCCGTCAGAGCCCCCAGTGAAAAGCCTTCCAGCTTTTGTGCGTGGCGGATGTTTGCTTGGCTGGGAGCCCAAAAGGGAAAAAACTATTTTCTGCGGAAGGAAGATCTTCAACAACAAACTGTCACGTAGGGCCTCAGCGTTCAGGGTGTCTCTCCTGGGCTCGGCTCCTCCTGGGGTCCCCCAGGCCGGAGAACCTGTCCCACCCTTTCCAGGAGGTGCAGGTGGAACGTTTGACAGGATAGAATGACCCCTGGCCGGCGGGAGCAGGACACGGGTCTGCGGATCCAGCCGCTTCCCCCACGGGGACCTGACGCCAGCTCATTGAGGCTGCTTGTTCTGGGCTTTGCCTGCCCCTGGTTGAGGAATCGGCTTTCCCGGGGCCGTGAAGCCAGCTTCCATCTCTCCTTTGCTTCCAATAGCCAACATTTTTGACCGTTGTCTCTTTGGCTTTATGGGGATTATGCCTTTTTTTTTTTTTTAAGGTGAAGTCTGCTTTTTTAAAATGTCAATTTCATTTGTATAATTCGCTAATATTAAGGATACAGTTTGGGGGGCAGTTCTATTAACCACCATTATATCAACTACTTAGGACGCTTTCAACAGTTCCATAGCGTTCTCTTTTTTTTAAATTAATTTATTTATTTATTTCTTTTGACATGCAGAATTAGAGAGGGAGGGAGAGAGAGAGAGAGAGGTCTTCCTTTTTCCATTGGTTCACCCCCCAAGTGGCCGCTGCGGCTGGCGCACTGCGCCCATCTGAAGCCAGGAGCCAGGTGTTTCCTCCTGGTCTCCCATGCGGGTGCAGGGCCCAAGGACCTGGGCCATCCTCCACTGCACTCCCTGGCCACAGCAGAGAGCTGGCCTGGAAGAGGAGCAACTGGGACAGAATCCCGGTGCACCATCCGGGACTAGAACCCGGGGTGCAGGCACTGCAGGTGGAGGATTAGCCTAGTGAGCCACGGTGCCGGCCTATAGCGTTCTCTTATGCCTTCCTTCCATGCCCTGGGTCCTACAAACCCTGTTCTGCTTTCTACAATTATAATTTACTATTATTATTTTTTTATCAAATACAAAGAGATCTTCCACTGCTGGAGCTGGTTTGCTCTCCAGGTGGCCGCAACGGCTGGAGCTGAGCTGATTCAAAGCCAGGAGTCAGAAGCTTCTTCCGGGTCTCCCACATGGGTGCGGGGGCCCAAGGACTTGAACCATCTTCTGCTCCTTTCCCAGGCAATTAGCTGGATGGGAAGTGGGGCAGCTGG